GGCTGTGATTTGCTTCAATCTGTTATCAGCCTTCTCTGACAGAAAAAGTAGCTGAGGAGAATACCACCCTTATTTTGCTCATGAAAGAGAGATATTCTTGCCATTCAGTTATGTGATAACTAAACATGTTATAACAGGGTAGGACAAAAGTAGGTTTACAGTTGTTCACATGAAAAATAATACAATAATTAATTAATAACACAAGAATAAACTATTTCATGTACTCACAACTGTAAGTGTTGGTTTTACTTCAAGAAATATTTTTAGCAAGACAGAGCTCTTTCAAGGAAGAATATTTTATATAATATCTCACTTAAAGTTGTCTGTATTTTACCGTTACCAAGACTCTGACATTTTCCATATGCAAAGTTGATGAAACTGAGTCAGTAGTGAAATCTGAGAGGACTACCCAGGTATAGATATTTATTCATATTAATACACCAACATCATATTTCTGGGTCCTTCACAGTATGGGAGGATTTTATTTGAAGCAATGTTAGCACCCAGTGATTAGCTATAGGCACACACACACACCATGACAAAATAATAATTTGTCTAGAGTTAGAGCCTGAGATTTTGAGATAGATTGATCAGTTCTCACCCACAAATTTCAGAGGCCTTTTCATATAGTCATTGTTACTCTAGTAGGATTGTTCTCCATAATAATTCCTCTTGTCTACTTAGTAATTCTGTGTATGTGGCTGGAAGGGAGGGACAGTGATACTTTTGCTGACAGAGACATCTTTATCAAATAGGTAAGTAAATTTATCGCTGGAACCTAGCCATGAGGGTTATATATTTCTTCAATACCTGTGTTCAAAATGTAGCAGGAAAAGGAAAATAAAAGGAATAACAATGTGTTTTCTTTTCTGTGAAATCAGTAAGTAACTGTTATTTACAAGTGATAATATGCTGGTGAAAGAAGAAATGAGATTCTTTTTGTAGATTTAAGAAAGCCAACGATGCTGTCATTTAGGATTTTAAAACAAAATTAAAAATATGGAAATGATGATCTACATTAAGATTACAGCAACAATAAGAGCATCACAAAGCTCTCATTTTCATGTGAGCAGGTGATAATTATGTGCCTTTTGAGATGAAGACGGGGAACCCCTTGCCACTCTCTGGGCCTGCAGCTTCACACACTGGAACGGCCCTTGGCCAGCACTGTGTTCTGAGTGACCCAGGAAGATTCCTCCTAGTCCTTGTGAGTGGAGGTTGAAAGACCGTCAGTCCAAACACTAAATGCTGAGCGTAGAGTCCCCAAAGCATGCAGAAAAACCCCTCACCTTGTTGGTGTGAGACCTTTTCTCCCTATAGCACATGCGCGTCCACCATTTCAAGGATATGGTTATTTAACACCTTTGTTTCCTAGTTATTTGCTCTGAGATGATACAGCCCTCCAGTAAGCGCCTCTAAGCTTTATTTTTTGTACCCTGTAAAGGAGACTATCAGACAACATCATTTTACTTCGGTATCATTTCTAATTAACTTTAAAAAAATAAGACCAGAGCACACCCTCAGACAAAGCTGAAAAAAAGCCACGTTAGCACATCTCTATAATGGGAACTGGATTTCATCAAAGGAGAGTGAGAGGGCGAAAGAGAGAGTGATTAGTGGTCACAGTGTCATGTAGTTTTCTTTAGCCAAATATTGATATATATAAGGTGGGAAACTGACTATATTTTTAAGAGAAATATGAGGGTGATATGTAGTTGCCTTTGAGTGGAGCATATTCCATATTCTCTTGACCACCCTTAAGAGAAATACATGTTGACACACTGGTATTCATGATAGACAATTTAAATAGAAGCTGACATTTTTCTACAGATCTTGAAATAAATCAGATACTGTAAAGTATGCAAAGATAAACCTAAGCAAACCAATTTTCAAATTTAAAAATTCAGCCTGAAAAGTTATGTATTATTTTAGTGCATATTTGGGTTTAGGACTGTAACTTTTGAGAGGACAAAATTATTTTGAAATATATTCATATCTCAAAAATTTTAAATTCTATGAAGAATTTTAACCTACAATGCCACATATTAATGAGAAATTACTATATCCTACTAATCACTCTTTTAAGTGACCCATCATGTTTGATCCAGGTTTCTTAAAATGCTTATTAAAATTAATACACTGTTTTCTGAGGAATAATGATAATTTAAGCCTGTAATTTACATGCATTTTGTTTCAGAGATTGGTCATCAAATACAAAGATTTGGTAAGTTGATATTTTGAAATATTCAATACAATGTAATATGTCTTTGAAGGCTGACTTGTTTCTTGTAACAGGAATTGACTATTTTTTTAACCATTAAATTAATTTTTCTTTTTTTTTTTTGGATGGAAAAATTCCTAAGTGTTATAAAAACTGGTTATGGAAAATGTTAATGATTATTATTTCCCTACATATCAGAACAATTACTTTTTTGATGAAATTTTGCTTCTACACAATTTTTTGTGTCCTATCAAGTTTCTTTATTGTATACCTACCTGGACAGCATGACCTTTTAATGGTGGTTAGAAATTAAGAGGATAGAGGCCAAATATCTCCCTGCATGTGTAGAATCCCAATTTAAACTCTTACGTCTGTAGCAGGGATAAGATTCTTTGTTTTCAATATGTTATTTGCATTTATTTACATATGGCTCATTGCCAATTATGAGACAGGGACAGAAAAGAAATTCCAATGAGCTGGTAATGAAATAGTTTTCTAGCTGTCTACTCTCAATTTGGCAGAAGGCACTAGTTAGAATGTGTTGGTAAAATCTTTGTTTCCCTCATGAAAACAATTGAATGACTTTCCTGGATCTGTCTGTCCACTACTGATAAGACTAAATATATGGGACTACAGCTATAGTTTTATTTTTTCAGTACTAGACACTGCACAGAATGCTAGTGGTAGGGAGTAGGAGCAGGGCTTTGGAACTAAGATAAACATGACTTCCTTTAGGAATCTTAGCCTTCTAGAAGATGGATAGGAGATGTATACAAATAGTTAATACAATATTCTAAAAGGCAGATATGAGGTATACAAATAATATTATACCTCCTAGAAAGGATACCTCCAAAAGACATATTTAGGGAAATATGATGCGGTTAGTATGTCAAAGCAGACCAATCTTAGTAAGTTTAAACATATCTGAAAGGAACTAGTATTGATGCTACTTAAGGAATCAGTAGTAACAACTGCTACAACAATCACCTTTTGCTTTCTATACATAGGCACACTTTTAGAGTGAATGATATATATGTTATATACCTGTAAGCTATTATAAAAACACTATTATAATAATTCCAGACTGTTAGAGCTTCATGTCATGTATATAAAATTTAACTGCAAAAAATTGGAAGCATACTCCAAGATACTTAGAATCTTGCTTTTGTCTCTGGTTGGTAAGGTTATGAGTGACCTTTTAAAAATTATATTTTACTTTGGTTCAAAATTTCTACAACCAGGGAAATGCTTTTATTTGAAATATAATATGAAATTTTAAAATGCAGGAGAGGGTGAAAGAATATGAATACGGTGAACTTCAAGGTTACCAATAATTTGCTACTTCATAAGCTGAGTGGAGGGCACATGGATGTTGATCTTAGCATTTTTAAATTTTTATATCCATTATTTATCTTCTTTTCATGTGTAGAATGTGATTACTTCAAAACATATTAGTCTGAATTTATATATGATTTATTTCTATTATTGTAATAACCCCTTGATGAATGAAATACATATTTATAAAAGAATGAATGACTCTGACATAAAAGAAATCACATTTTACCTTTAATTATTCTGATTTATTTTTGAAGTACTGTAGGTTTTTAAATAGTGTGTTATTCTCAGAGGTAGAACTTACTTTTTAAAAATGCTCATCAGTTCTGAAAATCAGTGTACAAAACCAATAATTAATTACTAATGCTCATATGTGTCTCCCAAAACAAAATAGATTAATAGTGTTATATTATGCATGTTTTTTAATCTTTTGAATCTTGTTCAAGAGAACATTTAAATTTTAAAAGATACATGTACACTTATTTGTTTCTTTACTTTTCTTTCTGTGAATGATCGCAGGAGAATCCAGAAGAATGCCAATTATTATGATTCTACTTGAGGGATATTTCTAATGGTATAGTTTTTTGTAAAGAAGACATTAATAGTCAATTCAGTGTGGAAATTTGAACTAGTAGCAAGATTCAAGTCCATTTATGTGGAATCCATAACACTTCAAATGTGATTAATTTTGCTAAAAGATTCCCTTCTTATTGTGGAATGGGTTTGGGATGTACCTCTCTACATCACTTCAGATGCGAACCTTACACAAGTGAATTCTTGCCATTACAATAGCCCAATTTCTATGTGTGTGGTGAGCTCAGCAGGTTTTGACTTTCATTTAATCTGGAAAAATCCATCTCCAAATTTCTTACACTGCAATTCTAGGTTTTTCTTTTGCTTAAAAACATTTTCTTTTGTTAATGGTTGAAATCAGAACAGAAGAATGTTTAAAATAAATTTGATAATAAGAGAAAGAATAAAGTGAGTTTTGATACCTGATAATGCTCACATTATAGATGACTACAGTGAAATTTAATAAAACATTTTAATTTGAATACACTAATGTACATATAGATAATTTAAATAAAACACTTACCTATCATAGGTTCATTATTTGGCAAATTTCCAATGTCTTTTATTTATGTCTTGACCTATAATGATCATTGACAGTTTGCAGGCTTAAAATATGGTGATCCTAAACATGCTGATATTCTTATCATCAATCTATTATTGAGAAATATTTGCTTTATTACATATTGGTTCAGTTTTTGTATGAAAGTTACAATGTTTAATGTGATAAATTTCTTCTTTCTTCTTCTCCTAACTCTATAGATAATCTCATTTAAGTATGTGGGATAAAAAATTTGTCTACCATATGACTTTCCCTAAACCTTTACCACATATTTAAGTATGTTGGATTTTCTTTCTCTCTACATTCCTCTAGGACAGTTTCCCAGCACGATTTGGAGGAATCCATTTTGTCAACCAGCCATGGTACATCCATGCCCTATATACTGTAATCCGGCCTTTCCTAAAGGAGAAGACTCGGAAAAGGGTATTTGTTTATTTCTGTTTTTATATCCTTTCACCCTTCCCAATCAATGAATTATGATGCATACTGTGTGTATAATATTAGCCATGGTAAACATGCTTATATATTGCATATCAATATTCAACATACAATATGTTTAAAAATTCTAAAGACATGTGATTAATTCTGAACAGTGTGTCCATGACAGAAATATTTAAAAGCTGGGCTCTCCTACTTTTCCACAAATTGGAAGAATATTTTAGCACTTTCATTACATATTATTGTCTCAATTTAAAAGTAAAAAAAATTGTCACATCTCTATAGCTATTGTACACTTAATATCAAGTAGGTCTAGTACAAAGCTATAGTGTTATAAGTTGATAAATGGAATTATTTTACAATATGTATTGCATCAAATATATTTAATTGTGTGATAACTAATATGCTTTTGCAGTGATTGCCATGATCAGTCACACATTTCAGAAAGAATGCTAATGCATAGAAATATTAATATTCATTAAATAACAAGAAACGAGTTTCTAGATTCAGTTTCATCTAACAATGAGCACATTCAAAGTACATTCAACAAAATCATTCTGAGAATAAGATAATTTATAAGCATTTAGCACAGTGCATGACATGTGGTAAATGCTGAACACATTTATTGTTATTATATATACTATTCATTTAAAAATGCATTTAAATGAATATTATTTTATTGTATTCTTCAAACAGCTCTGAAAGTAAGCTTAGTAAGCATTATGTCCTATTTCAGAGCAGAGGAAAGTAAATTTTAGGATGGATAAGTAACTTGCTTTTTCATTTATATGGCTGTAAAGTGGTATAGCAATATTTGAATCAAAATAGCTCCACATTTAAAGCTATTTTTACCATTGTGCTGTGAACAATTTTCAAATGATTAGCTCCATAGAAAAATATGCCTCTAAATCTATATGGAAGATAATTTTCCATGTCTCTCAGTCATCGAAAAGGCACTTCAGGTATTTCCATGTCATAGAAGCCTCATTGTGAGTGGGAATTTTTGAAGTAATTATTAACTATGTGTTTGTATCAAACATTAGTGATGGAGAGTTTTCTGTTTATGAATTTGTTGAAAATGTCCTAGTAGTTTAGGAAGAAGAATTCTGTAAATACCTATAATTGATATCAGAAATTGTTTCTACCACTGAGTCTCAAATTGATGTGCCTCACAAAAAGCACTTGCAAATTTTGTTTTATGAAGGCATCATCAGGTGAGCCCAACACCTGCTTGGGCTTTTAGTACAAATTATACTAGTGAACACTTTTGTAGAAGTCACTCTGCACATGCTGTTCTAAGTAATTTGCTTGTGAACTCATTTAATTTTTAAAACAAGGCTTATTTTTTCTTCTTTTATAGATGGGAAAACTAGGCAAGGTGGTTAAGCAATTTGCTCTAAAATCACTGCTAAAAGGTAGTAGAGCTGAAGGTGTGGGTTTATCCAGAATGCTGTTCCAGGAAGAAAGAATAGCAAACAGAGAAGTCCTTAGGTTGAAACACTCCTGGCATATTTGACAAACAGCAGGGAGGCCACAAAGACTGGGGTAGAACGAGCATTGTAGTGGGGGCGGGGTAGCAGAGAGCTGGGTAGGAGGGAAATGGTATGCCAGGTCACATAGAGCCGTGGACATCACTGCAAGAATCTGGGCTTTCAGAGTAAAATGGTAAGCATTTGAAAGACTTTGAGAACAGGGGCGATTGTTCTACCATGATTGTAGCATGATTCTGTTCTGTTGAAAAAGGCTGAAGAGGATCAAGTCTAGAAAACCAGAAAAACTTGAGGTTTGGGGGTTATTTGATTGAATTTGACAATTTTGACAGTGCTTAGATGAATACATTTCTACCATTATTCCAGGTAGAAGTGAGATATCTGTAACTTTAGCATTTTAATTAAAACTATATGACTTGGAAATTTTCATATGAGAAAATAATTATAGGTTAAAACTCCTTTAGTTTCTATTTATGCAATCAATGCACAATGCAAAGTTATATTTTCTTACTGGTGGTCTAAGTAATTCAGAAAAACCTAAGGCACGTTTGTGCATCTTCTTTCACAAACAACAAACACCTGGTTCTTCATTTGCTTAAATTAAATCTGACTCTGAGTCTCCAACATACATGTCTTATGGGAAGAAATATCAACCTTAGGTGTTACAGGGGTGCCTTCTTCTAAAAATATCACCAATATCTGGAATCCATCATGCAGAGTCAGACTTCTCAACTGCCATGGGCACTTCTGACATCTTCATTATTCAAGTCAGTATTCGTTCATTGAATTAAGTTCTTTTTCTGCTCTCAAGACGTCTGTGAAAAAAGAGCACCTTTGCTATAGCTTGAACCCACTAGCTAAACTTTAACCACTACCCTTGTATACTCTTCAGCTAGTCGATGGCTATGATCTTGCCACTCCCCAAGAGTGGATAGGAAACGGGTTTCACTTCTAGTTTGTACAAATTTCTACCTCTTATTCAATATGGTAGACTCTCTCTGCTATGCCTTGTTAATTTTCAAAAGTATTCCACTCTAGTCACCTAGCATATTCTCTTTAACAGCACAGTTCAGGAAAATTAAATAAAAGTTGGAAGTGTTATTCAAGATAAATTTTTTTTTGCATTCGAAGGTACTCTGAGGCAAAGGAACCCACAAGGACAATACTTCTTACATGGAATGGAGGATGAGAAAAAATAAGGGGAAAAAAGTAGCTAAAACTTTAATAAATAATGTTATCACACAGAACTAGTTAAAACAAAGAAAAATCTTAGAACAAAAATTAAATAGTGGGGCAATTGCAATACATCCTATTGTCCAGCCCAGAGGTACATGAAGCCTGGAGCTCTCTGACATTAAGATGTTAGGGTCGTGAGGAATAATCAGCTAAAGAGAATGAAAAAGCATCAATTAAGGTAGGAGAAAACCAAGAAATCATGGGAGAAAATGTTTTCATGAGGGAGACATCTACTTACAGGTGTGTCCAACCCATGGCCTGCAGGCAGCATGTGGCCCAAGATGGCTATGAATACAGGCCAACACAAAATTGTAAATTACTTAAAACATTATGAGATTTTTTGAGTGTGATTTTGTGTCACAGTGTATTTAAGGTGGGGCCCGAGACAATTCTTCTTCCAGTGTGGCCCATAGAGGTCAAAAGTTTGGACACCCCTGATACTATATCTAGTGCTTCTGAGACTTAAAGAATAATGACTGAGAATTGGGCAATTAATTTAGCAATGAGAAGAATCTTGACAAGAGCTGTTTTCATACTGTGGTAGGAGGTAACACCTGCATTGGATTCATAAAAAATGGGACAATAGTATTTGGACAATGCATATAGAAAAATCCTCTGATGAATTTTGCAATGAAAGCAAGGAGAGAAATTGGAATAACTGGAGGTTTTATGTATCTGTATGGGGAAAAGGTAGAGTAGAGTTGGCATGTTTGCTCTCTGATGGGAAAGATCCAGCAGAGCGAGGAAATTTGATGATATGAGAGAGGTGGAGAGAATTGCTTAGGAAATATAATTGAGTAGAGGAGAGAGGGTAAATTCTAGTGCACAGGTGGAAAGGTTGGCCTTTGCAAAGTGTATCCTTCATTATACTAAGAACGAAGGTAAAGCATACAGACTCAGATGCTGGTGGATTGGCCTCAGCTGGTTGTCCTAGTTTTTCAGTGAAAGAGGAAACAAGGCCAAAGCTGAAAGTGATCTTGAGAGAGGAGTTAACAGAGTGTTAGTGAATAAAGAGGAAGTAGTGTGCTGGATTACATTTATTTTTCTCAGGATTTATTACCATACATCTTGCTCGCATGGCTTGAAAGAGGTTTTTTTACATGAAATAACGTACTTGACAAAATAAAGATTCTATACCTAATAAAATATGGGTTTCAGGTGCTAGAGCTTAACTTTTCCAGGAAAAATTATTTTTATTTCTTGTGAGAAGAACCTAGCAGTGTGTTATGTGTGTGTGTTTTCCTGGGCTGTTGTGCTCTGCAAATAGGAGTGGGGAGGTATAAACTTTGCAATCAATTTGATGTACTTTGGGACAGATGATATCTTCCACTTTTGTAGGTTCTGCATCATATATTCCAGGCAGCTATTTTTCCTGCTTATTCTGGCCAGTGACTTGCTCTTAGCTGCTTTTACTCTTCCATAATTTGTTGAAATACTTGTTGATTAGTGACTCCCATCCTTTCCATTTTATTTGATGATGCAGACTAGTCTTTGTTTTCCTAAATATTTACATCAGTAGATTCTAAAAGTTTAGAAAACAAAGATGAATGTGGTAACCTGTTCATCTTGAACCTAAAGTATAAACTATAACCCTTAAATAAATGTTATAAAATTATATATGAGATGACGACAATGCTTTATCAGAGAAGACTGATTTGCAGTTTTGAGATTTAAGCGAAAGAAAAAAGGTAGCAATTTACGGGCAAACAGATCTTGAGCATGTAGCTTGAATAATTTTTCAGTTTAACAAAATGCTCTGTGTAAACAGTAATACTCATAATTAATATGTGCATTTAGCTTTACATTTTTAATCCATTATTTCATTTTGTATTTGAACAATAAACATGGGATTTTCTAGTAGAGAAGAAGTTGAACCATTACAGAACATACGTCCTCTGGGACATGAACCCTCACCCAACCTTTCACTATGATGGTGCTAATCAACTTTTATTTATATCATATACTTTGCATTATAAAGTGGTAATTTAGCAGTTACAATACTCTTCTTTTTATGGATGATAAAAAGAAAGCTATACCAGTGACAGCTTCTGGGCCGAATAACTTGGATAGACTTTTCAGCTGATGAGTCCCTTATGAGAAGAATCTTTTTTAGCAACATTCATTATGCACATCATCAGCTTTGCACAACTAACATCAGAATGATGCACAGATCAACATGCACATTAGATTCTGTTTGTGTCCCTGGTTATGAAGCAGGAAACCAAATTCTGGTTCCAGCTCTTTAACTCAATAACTATCAGACCTTCTAGAAGCTACTTAAAATCCCTGAGCCTCAGAATTTTCATGTGAAATGTTAGAATGGCAGTACCAGCATGACTGTTCACAGAGTAGATGAGGGGCTTAAATATTTTAACAGGCATGGGAAATTCTTGCTTTTGCTTTTTCTATCATTACTCTCACCCCACAACATGTGGCTAATATTTATTTTCTTCTGTGTGTTTTCTCCCACCCCGCTTCTTGTATTCATAGATATTTTTGCATGGTAACAACCTGAATAGTCTACACCAACTAATTCATCCTGAGATCCTGCCCTCTGAGTTTGGAGGAATGCTGCCCCCCTATGACATGGGAACATGGGCCAGAACACTGCTAGACCACGAGTATGACGATGACAGTGAATACAATGTGGACTCCTACAGCATGCCTGTGACAGAAGTAGAGAAGGAACTCTCCCCCAAGTCCATGAAGAGGTATGCTCGAGGTAGCTGGGAAATGGGCTGGGGCCAGGGCGGAGGCCCCCAAGTCTAATCCCAGGTTTTATATTTTTTGAAGGAGATGTTTGGTGAGATTTTAAAGCATTTTATGCTCCCATGATTGGATGTCTAGGAATTTTGAGTCAAAGGTAGTCATTTGAGGTAATCTCAACTTGGGTTATTGCAAATTCACAGCAATCTAACAGAGCCCTAGGAGTCACTAAATTCAGTGATTTTTCAAACTGCACTTTAGGATCTGGTAGAGTTTCCCAGGCCCGGCAGGTGGGGTGGAGACAGTGCCCTTCTCCACAAGGAAAATGACTCTCTTATCTAAGCAAGTTATTAGACTTCTATGTAAGATTTCATTTGAAGACCTTTCTATAGCAAACTCACACACATAAACACTCTTCAAACACTAATATTTGAAGCTTATGTTCTCTTTACTGTATTTCTGCCAAATTTTTGTTTAAAGGTCTAGTCATTCTTGGAGAAAGCACTCTATTTGCCTATAGCTTTAATCTTTATAAAGTTCACTGTTGATTCAGACTCTCCGCTTTGACTCTCACAGTATTTTTATCCTATTTTCTTTCAGTCAGTGCATATTTATTGAACACATGCTTTGTAATAGGCTCTTTCCTAAGTCTTTTGGATCCAGCGTGGGTAAAACGTGCATCCAGCCATCGTCTAGTGATGATGGAGGGTGGGGGAGTTGCCAGGCAGGCACACATACATAATTGCCTCTGACTTTGCATTCTGTAGCCAACTACAAGATGTCTAATTCCCAGGTTTCCCTAGGCCACACTGGCCCAGGGTTCATCTGGATAGTGTAACGAATATTATTGGTTCATTTCTCATCACAGAAATAAAGGAACCACAGCTCCTGCAAGTCTCTTCTCACCTAGCTCAGGAAGGACCCAAGAGTACGTGTCATCCCAAGTACTGTCTTGCATCCTTCCCTGATGAATGCCTTCTGGTCCTTTGTTGTTGCCATGACTCATGCGTGGCACCCCAGATTTCTGAGCTGGCCCCTTTTTTGCTTCTGTCGGTATGTGTGTGGTATCTTCCTTTCCCTATACTGCTCTACCACTCCTTGGAGAGAATGAAAAGGCCATTGACATTTCCAGCTTTAATTTCTCCACTAATCATCAAGTTTATGTTTAAATCAACTTCTGGTTTCTCAACTCTCTTCTCTTAAAACAGGACTTTATAATTTGAGTTCTATGCTTGCCTAGCCAAAGGGGTTCATGGATGTGCTCTTGAAGAGGCCTATGAGGTGATAAACGTCTTCAAAGCTGTGTATGGAGAGGTGTGGATATATATAGTACATTTTTCTGGACAAAAAGCATATGTCTCATTAAATTCTAAAAAAAAGCTTTCTAAAATAAAATTATTTAAAAGCCATTGCCTCAGAATAGGTTTCTTCTTATAAAAGTAATGACCCTAATATTAGTGTTGCAATCTACCATTTGCTTTACATAAAATTAGGCTTTACTGGATCTCTTTTGTTGGTAACATTAATTTGTTTAATTCTCACAGCAACCTGTGAAACAGATAGGATATGTCCAAAGTTACAGTCTATATGTAGTGAAATGCCATTCCAATCAATGAGGCATAAAGTCTTCTGTGCTGTTGACATACACTTTCCATGACACCATGGCAGAGGGGGCCCTCACTCTAGAACTGAGCTATATAAAGCTTCCGAGACAGATGCATAGGCATTCCCTAGTCTGTTCCTTGGCCAGTTAACAATGCTCCTTTTCTTAAGCCACTCCTTCTGTGACATGTTAACTGACCTGACCCCCTCCTCTGGGCGTAGCCTTATGACCTTAGCTACGCTCCCAGCACTGACACTCTGCTCACCTCCACTAACGCCAGAGCTGCCTGCCTGCTGTCTCTGTCTCCACCTGCACTCTACTCCTCTACCTTTTTATTATCCACATGGCAACAGATTATTTTACTTCGCTGCTTTCAGTTTTTTAATGACTGCTGATTATACAATATAAAATCAACTCATATCATGGTTTACATTGTGCTACTTGATCTGATCCCACCTATCTGTCTTTTCTGTTCATTTACCTTTTCTGTCTTCTGCGGCCTTTCAGGCCCAACATCCTTATTTATCCTCCTTCAGCTTCTCCAGCTTGTTCCTACCTAAAAGTCCTTATACCTCTCACCTCTGGCTGGAATGCTCTTTCCCTACATTGTGCAGTGGCTGGCCCAGTCAAGCTCATCTTCCGAAGAGGGTCTTTTGATTTTTCTTGACTGCCAGGTCTTAATCAATTCCTCTTCCTCCTCATTCTAGTCACTCCTTATCAGTCACTTCCTTTTTTTCTTCATAGCACTTTCCAGTCTGTGAAATGACTTATGTTCTTTAATTTTATATCCAGTCCCCAGTGTAAGCTTCATGGAGACTTCAGTGGCCTCGTCTGTCCTGCTCTTTTCTGAATCCCCAGTACCTGGAGTAAGCCCTGGCACACAGGGTGTTCACTAGGTACTAGCTGAAAAACGAAGGAGGCCTCTGCTGTCTGTCATTGACCCCTTTAAGTGACGTGTTTAGAACCAAATAGGTAACATCTGATGGTATTACTACTTGGACTGAGGTTCTAGAACTATGGCTTTGCAGTGTAGACTTCATTGGCTCCCTTTTGTTTTGGTTATTATTGCACTATGGCTGTCATTCAGGAAGCCAAAGCACATTGCTAAGAGCACAGTGCACTGCCTAAAACTGGTAACTCTTTTTACTTTTAGATCCATATTCTCATCATTCTCTATGTTTAATTTTTCCTCCAAGCACATTACTTCAATCAATTAACACCATCTTGTTTGATTTGGCTCTGACTATCCACCTTTTGAAGTTTTTATGGATCCAGATTTTTTTTCTCCAATTAATTAGGCCATTTTGTCCCCTGCAGAGTTGGCTCACAGCACATCGACCTCCCCAGTCCTGAGTTTCTTGCTTCTGACATGGGTTGATTATTACTTCAGACATCCCGTGTTCGGTGCTGGCTTTGTATCATACGAAGCTTTTGTTGTTCTCTTTGAAAGCTTATGAAAGAGTAAGATTAAGAAAGGTGTTTTACTTGACTCTCATCTCTACATCAGGGAATGACAGGACAGTTGTTCCCACGTTCCACCTTGTTCTCTTCTCCTCTGTCTTCTTTTTGAGCTTTGTCATACTTAGGTTGAGAGGGAAAAAAAATCATTCCTTCACCAAAAAGTTGTAGATAAGTACTTGGGGTGAATTTAGCCAGATGTATGAGAAGAAGACTTGACCCCCCTGTGTAAATTTCTGGGAGGATAGCATAGTCATGTAAAAAGATATAAAGTTCATTAGATTGTGACTGCCTTAAACTGGGCAAGCGTTTTCCCCCTTTTATCTCTAGTACTTAGGATAGTGCCTGGCACAAAGCAGTTGTAGTGAGTAACAGTGCTAATACTGTTATGCTGATATGACCTTCAGTTTTATAGAATAATATTTAACATCTTTTGTTACATACGAACACCTGTCTAATGTTTTTTTATATATTGACTCCTTTGCTTTTCTAAACAACCAATAAGGTAATAGTGTCCCCATCTTATTAATGAGGAGACCCAATACAGAGAAGGTAAGTAACTTCCACATGTCCCATAGCTACAAAGTGGTGATGCTAATATTGAACACGGTCAATGTTATTCCATAAGTCATTTCCTTAACTGCTACCATTTGCAAGCTGCCAGAATTGGGGTTTATGCATGCATTATCGCATTTGATCCTCAATACATCTGTATGATGTGGGTGTTATGTTCTCCATTTTACAGATAAGGAAACAAGATCTGAGGAACTTTAAGTAGCCTTTCCATAGCCACAGAGATAGTAAATGGCAGAACTGGAATTGGGATCCACTTCTGTCTAAAATCAAGCCTCTTAAATACTAAGGTTAAAGCAATATTGTAGAGGCATAAAAAAAATGAATAAATGATACCTGGATAACTAAATTTAAATTATTTGTTTTCATTAAAAAATAAAAGTTATTTACTACAAATACAGTAGAGGCAAATATACACACATTCAACTTTAGTCAATCTCCTTTCTGATATAGGCATCTAATACCTATTATTGAGATCAAATGTTAAAAGTGAATTAGGAAATAAAACCTCCCTGTTTTAGTATTCTCACCTTCCTTTCATTTTCTCTTTGGAAAGGAATTTATTTAAAAAAAAGACTGGACTTTTCAGTTCATTTTGTAATTATTTTTACTTTGATAATTAGTTCCATTGCTTTTCTTTTTCATTAGCATGTGCAGTTGTAGTTTAGCTTATAGTCTTTCTGTTTGAAAGTTAATGAGGTCTGCTAAGAGACAGAGCATTAGCCAATTGGCTGGAATGCAGCAGCAGGGGAAAAATTCATTACCACGGAGAATTTTAAAAGGGCAGCTGCTTCCTTAATGCTGTAGCTATTAAGATGGCAGCTTCCTGCCACAACAGTAGCATGTCTCATTAACTTTCTTCCTTTCCTGTTTTATGTTGTTTCCTAATATATAATTTCCACCTGCTATTAAAGGCATGTGTAAGGGGTTTTTAAATTATTTGCTTCCCTAATCATAAAGAGTTACTGCCTCACCAAGAGGGATTTTACCTTCCTTTTTTTTTAAATTTTCAAATTACAGTTGACATTCAATATTATATGAGTTTCAGGTGTATGCAAGGTGGTTAGATATTTATATAACTTACAAAGTGATCCCTCCAATAAGTCTTTCACCCATCTGACACCATATAAATACACACACACACACATATTTATACACAAAGTTATTACAATATTATTATCTGTCTTATCAATGCTGTGCTTTACATCCCTGTTTCTATTTTGTAACTGCCAATTTGTATTTCCTAATCCCTTTTTCATCTTTTTCACTCAGCCCCCCAGGGTCTTAACTTTTTAAAAGTCTTAAAACATTTTACAAAGTTTCAAGAGTAAGACTGATTTTATTCTAATGGTCTAGTGGAAAATTGAACAAAGCTGACATTGAAATTTTAACTGTTTTCCTAACGTGATCATTAAAAAAATGATGGTTAAACAAATACAGATTTGCATTAAATTTGTTTCATAAAACTCTTTAAGACGGGAACAATCAAAGCTCCTATCATTTCTACTTCATGTCTCATAATAATAATTTCGCTGTAATAATTTCCCATTTGGAATATATCTGTCCTATATTAGAAATTCTCACTTTCAAAGAAAAGACCCTTGCTCCTTTGTGAACAGGATAACTTAAGCCTATTATTGTGTATTTAAAATCCTTAACTGTTGAGTGTTCCCTTTAGAGGCCAGAGGGTCTTGTTTTCCCTGATGCAAATTGATGTGCAGCATCCTCAGTTCATAAATTCCTTGATGTAAAAGATGATAATCTGCATCAGTAAGAGAAGTAATAATGGAGAAAAGACAGAGAAGACAATGTGATTATTTGGTAATAACTCACTGACACCGCCTTTATCACTTCCAGATCCCAATCTGTAGTGGATCCTACAGTACTAAAACGCATGGATAAAAATGAGGAAGAAAACATGCAACCTTTGCTCTCTCTGGACTGATAACTTCTTTATACTTCCCATGGACTAGAAAAGAAAGGTACTTGTTTTCAGCAACAGAGACAGCACTGTGGAGGAATTACCAGCTGAAAACTTATTTATTCTTGTTAATGTAGCATAATATATAATAAGGCATCAGGCTTTTCCATTTGCCTGAACCATGGGGGCCCTGGTCTAGATTAAAATGTTAATAATTTATTCTGTAAGTGCCAAGTTCTTTGTAAATACAATGTAATCTTTATGTCAAGTTTGTAAATTTTGGTAATGACTAAAAATGGAGAAATTTGGCTCATGAGCTCATGCAAGCGATGTGAACTGTAACAGCAACAGCAACAAAGACACATAAATAATCAAAGCTAATTAAATGTAGCCCTGTTTCCTATGAAGCCATATTTCAATTCTCATAGTGATTGTTTCATTGTTTTCCTCTGAAACTCTGTCATATTCAAATGTACTTTTAATGGGCACAGGGAACTAGATGATTATAGGAAATTATTATGATAAATGTATTTCCTGTCTAGTGATTTTCATTTCACAGAAAATGTATTCTAGTGACTATCACTGGCCATGTATTTTGGAGACAAAGAATAGCAGTTAATCTGGTAAATTGAAAACTTGAACTCTTCTATGTTATTTAATTCCTGGATTCTTGTAAAAAAGGTATGTTTTCCAAATTAAGATGTGGAATTTTGAAAGAGAGTGGATTCTTTTTTAAACTGCTGTCTTCACAATGTATCCTTTATTCCAGATCCCACTGAATCCCTGTCTGACGTACTTTAAGAACATTTTCCCCTCAAAAATCTTTGACCAAGAGAAAGAGAACTCATGCATGAATAGTGTTTTGACAGCTAATTTTGAACATAAAAGTTGATACATACTGATAAGGGGCTAATTCCTAATTATTGTGCACTGGTTGATAAAGCACATATATGCACACATACATCTACTTTTGCTGAGCTGTAATAAATCCTTGAGATGACAGGCTTATAAGATAAAACATACATATTCAATGGCCTTAGAGATGATAGAGATTATTATATGAGATGCTCACTCTGGAAAACTATTTTCTCTACAGTTAATGAAAATGAGGTATAGCGAAACAGACTTTTAGTGAACCTATTTAAGGGAATCCTGCTTTGTATTGCAATCTTGAATCCATGCCATTTTAGTGAAATGTATTTTTCAAAACAACAGGTCTCAACATAATGTAGGCAGTGTCAGGTGATCAAGAGTAATAAAGTTTTTCTCAAATTTAAGTTAATTATCCTAATGATCCTATAAATACACATTTTCTTTTCAGAAAAGATTAAAAGAACATATTGCATCCAGGAGACACAGTGAAAGCATCTGAGGGCATCTGAGATAGCATAGTATAGTTTAAATATAGACTTGGAATCCTCATGTCATTGAAAGTTTCTGTTTCATAAAAATTCTGCAATTATAGCACATTTTAAATAGCTTACTTTAAATTTCAAATCTCACTGTGAAAAAAATCAGGAATTTTACCACCATTTTAGATTGGTAAGTTTTGAGATTGAGAATGTACCATTAAAGTATTCTTTTGAAAGAAAAATATCTCAAAAAACTCTTGGAAACCAGCAAAAATGAAGGCATGTAGCAAGCTTTCCATACTTTTTAGCTAAAAGCTTAAAATTTTTCAGTTGTAATTCTACAGTGAAAAATCTTAAAATCAAGATCAGTACAGTTTGAAGTATCACCAATGAACTATTTCATATTTGTAAAAATACATAAATATACATAAATAACATAAATGAAAGATCCCTTTAAAATGCCAACCTCCAGTCCAGTGTAGAAGATTAATGACTGTCAGGTACTCCGTTCTACTCATAAACATCATAGAGATGAGAATGAATTTAGTATAAAAAACAGCAAGCAACAACTCTTATCTTTATAAGAACCCTGACCATTGCATGTTTTGCCAAACTGACATACATTTTACAGCCTTGGGCTTTATATATTATATTAGCAAGTGTTAGGCAATATGGTGCATTGAAATGAAGTGCAAACAAAATATAGAAGGCAGTGAACATTTCATTCTCATTGCTTTCTTTTTTCATTTAATGCCAATTTTCAGAATTCTACCAGCTTCAAATGTCAACTAGCATAGCCAGCTTCTTTCCCCTATCATTAGACTGGTGTCATATAAAAATAACAAGGAAGACTTATTTCTTAGGTCTTTACCTATCTCATTATGAAGTATCATACACGCTGTCCTCCTACCCCGCATTTGGGAACTTTGCATAGGCATGGCTGCTGGTCTGCTCTTTCTCAAGTGAGTAACTGAGATTTGGCAGGGTTGTGTAAAATATTTTAAAATGAATGAACAAAACTACAACAATGAAGCCTTTTGAAATAGCTGTATCTAATTCAGCCTGTGAGTAAACTCATTTCCTAAGAATGTGTTTGAAGCTCCATAGTCAAGAGATATATGGTCAAGTTTATAAAATTTCCCCTCAGCCTCAGCTAACTAGTACCGAGCTATTTTTTTCCTCTCATGATTTTTTGTCCTGTTGCTGTGTCTGTTGTTACAAAACTTAGCAAATAAGCACCCCTAGATTTCAATTTAACTGCAATAGTCCACTCCCATGCACACACACTAACCCCCAAATACTAGACTATTTGCCCTAGTGAATTTGCTTATTTTGAGAACTATGCTTTGGTTTTTTAGGTATCTTCTACTGAAAATATATAGACATCAAAGGATTATCACATTTGATTTGGAATAGTCCACTAGTTCATTTACTTCTCTTACCCTACTTGCTCCACCTTCTATTCTTGTATCTTTTCTTTCTTCCAGTGTTTCAGGGGCAGCTGTTTCCAAAGCTGTTTTAAAAATAATGACTTTTCTTATGTTGTCAGTGATAGCTGCACACATTTTTGACTAGTATTTTAAATGGAAGAGATTATCATGACAATATACTCTAAGAAATATTGAGAAGTGCCTCTTTAAAAATGGAATAAAGCAGTGATACTAGAATATGGATTCTATTTGTACTCTCTTCCAAAAAAATACATTTATATGGTACAGATGAAATATAGATTACCATTTGAAGAAGGCTATTTGAGGCCTTGTTGTGAGCATTCTTGTACAGTGTAAGTCTTTATTGTGTAAGTCCAATACAGTAATTTGAGCACATGTTATTGACAAACCTGGCACTATGTTAAAACAATATACAAGTATTAAATAGAGTTTTGCAAGCAAGTTTTTGAAGTGGGCATGCATTATTTCTTCTATTTCAATAATAGTTTGCATAAGTGTAGGCAAAGACACTCCTTAAGCCTTTTCATATAAAATGCTTGTTTACAGTACTGAAAATTCATATATTCATAAGCAGAAAACCCAAACAGCTAGGTTCCCTTTAATATTGTGGACTAGGTCACATTGTTAAGCATTTGAAGTATCTGTACTAGTCCTGAGGGAACAGAAATGTCTCTCATGCATCAAGAAAATGGAGAGTTGTTTTAGACATCGGAGAACATATTCATTACTCTTCACAAAGGGAAAAGCCTTAGACTCATGGCAGTGAGACTTCAGGGACAGACTTCTCTTTCTTCTAGAAGCAACCTAAAGGATTATGGACATGGTTGTGGCCCTTTAGAAAAGTTATACCAAGAAAATCTGCTGAGAGGCTATACTATACATTTTTCTGTTGTTTTATCTAAATGTCTAATTTGTTTGGTTAGTTAATAATATATCTCTTTGCTTCTTATTTTGTATTAATATGTTTACTTGAAAAATTGCCATCAGCCATTAGGATATTTCAGAATGATTTTCAACACACAAAATAAAATGAGCAGAGATCTAGCATAGTATTTGAATTTCAGGATACAGTATTTACATTTTTACATCAATAACTTAATAGGCATATGTTTCATTTTGTGTGTACTAAATAGATATATAACCTAAAAAACGATGGTGCATTTTAAATTTATGAAGTCATTAGATCATGTAAGAAGCAGCAGGTAACATAAAATATTTTGAAACAAAAGTAGACAATTGGCTAAATATTCAGGGTATATAATTATCTTCAGTAGTGAAAAGTATTTGTTTTTGTTTTAGTTGCTTTCCAATATGCTATTGAAACTATTCAACATGACTTATTTTTTGAAATATGGCAAATAAGTAAAAATACAAAAGGATGCTTGGCCTTGAAATATTATTATATCATGATATTAATGGCTTAGAGAAGATAATTTTTTCACAAAATCAAGTTGTTATTTTGTAAACATCTGTAGATTAATCCTACATGTTGAGATAATACTAAGAAGTCTCTTCTGTATTGAATGGAGGAATATATTCTCCGGAACTGTAGGAAAAAATATAAAATAGTAATGCTATGGATTGAAACACCCAAGTTGTACTGGAGGAGTGAAAATGATACTGTTGAAATTAAAAAAAAAATATTTAGGAACCAAATAAGTATAGGACTTAAATATAATAAATGCACTTTTATAGTACACAGTGGACCTTGTTACAATTTAGAAGGTATTTGGTCAGTATTTGACTTAGTTTCAATGCACATATTTTTGTCCTTATTAATATCAATACATTTATTCTGTCATAATTATTTCTTGTGGTTAATGAAAGGGACATAGATGAATAGAGAAATAAATTTTAACAAAACTTTAAAAAGTGAATTGATCCTAAACTATTTTGAAAAATTACAATAAAGTATATATAATGGGTTTATAAATAACAGAGGTGCAAAGAATTGTCTTTGTTGCGAATCTAGTTTTCATATTTGTTAAAAGATAAATAAAACTCTAAAGACCAAGTAATTTTTGTTTTCAAAACTCCCAGAAAAAGTAAGATGTATAAGAAGTAATTATGCAAGTCCTTGATAAGAATACTAAGCACAGTAGTATTTGGCTCAAATACTTTTGACCTTTTGAGGGACATATTTATTTTAATACAGTATCATAAATGATATAATGCAATTTTTGAATAAATAAACATTTCTGCTTTAAAGAAGCATTTATTTTGCATATGGCGAATGTTCAATTTGGGTAGTGGATCTGTTGCATCTGTGAAATGGAGATTTCTAAAATGTTATCTAAAATAAACAATAATAACTTTGTTATGAGAAAAATTGTAGTTAGCTATTTGGTTAGGACACACAAAATTTTCTGATATTTGAATGTTTGGGGCTTAAAGGGGAGACAGTTCTTTTTATCAAGATGATATTTTCAGTATATTAAACTTTTATACAAGCTTTCAAAGCTAGTTTGAATAAATAAGTAAAGTAACTTTTAAGTTGCATATACCAATGAGAATTGATCAGTATATACAATAACAAAATTACTGGATTAGACAAGAGACTAGAGTCAGAAATTTGTGTTATAAAAAAAATTGTTTTAAATGAATCTTATTAAAAATAATCCCAGTTCAAAATATTAAGTAAAATAAAAAATATTATGCCTGACTTGAAAAAAAATACCAACTCAATAAATATGCATTGTATCTTCTGTGAGTTTTCCTCATTTATCTTATCTGTGGATGAAAGAAAAAACACCTAATGAAGAAAAGAGTCACTTACCTAGAACCCACTGCAACAGACTCCTTTCTTCAGCTCAAACACACATGATTTTTCCATACAACTTTTGAGGTTTTCAAGAATTGTTATTGCCACCTCTTTCTCAAGCCATGTCAGGAGGAGCCCAAGTTTCTAGCAGCAACTACAGAAGCACCATGAGAGGAAATAAACAGGGTAATCAGAGAATGCATGAAAAGCCATAGATGTGGGCCTCACTTCTTGTCACTGAAAAGGAAATCATAGTGTAAATACAGAAAACTCTTTCAAAATGCCATGGGTTTCTGATATCAAGAGTTAAATACTTGACCAGTGAAAAGAGGCCATGATGATGTCATGGTCTGCCTCCACACAGTAACAGCGTCGTCAAAAACTCTTGTCTCAGAGCATCACCTCTCTCTAAAAATAAAAATAAGCATGTTCTCTTTTTTCCTCTTTTTAGTAACTAGAATCATAAAAGTAACAAATAGAAACCAGAATTGCTTTGTTGCCCTTTAAGAAAAATATACTACATTATATGCATATAACATAATTCATTCTGCTGCCTAGAACTGAAATATTTGCATGTTGATATATACATTCTTACCTAAAAAATTAAAAAAAAATATATAATAGGGTTTTAGTGATAGAAAGTTATTAAATGTTCTTTGTATCATGAAGTCATGGAGAAGACTGGTAATATCATTGCATTTGAATCTATATATCTAAGCATTTTTACTTGGATGTCTAATGGACATTTCACATTTAACATTTGTAAAACCAAAATTTTCTTTCTGCACCCTGAACTGGCTCCCCCTGTAAGCTTCCCATCTCCCTGTCAGCTCTAATCTTGATGTGTCTAGGACTTAAAACTGAAGTCATCTTCTTTCTCTCCAATCTTTGTCTCAATCACATCCAATCAGCCTGCAGATATTGTTGGCTTTCCTTCAAAGTATATAAATCCACACTCTGATCACTTTGCTAATCATCTGTTGGAGCAAGAGTTCAGCATTCTCCAGTTGGAATATTATGATAATCTGAAAACTAGCCTCTTTGCTCTGGCTCTTGGCCCCTTAAGTGAGTTACAACACATTATTAAGAGTGAGCTAGCCCTGGCTGGTGTAGGTCAGTGCTGCTTGTGAACGACAGGGTCACTGGTTTGATTTTCAGTCAAAGCACATGCCTGGGTTGCAGACCAGGTCCCCAGTAGGGGGCGCATGAGAAGCAACCACATATTGATGTTTCTCTCACTCCTTCTCCCTCCCTCCCTCTCTCCATAAAAATAAATAAACATATATATATATATTTTAAAAGAGTGAGCTCAGATCATTTCACTCTTCTCAAAAATCTCCTGCAAGAGTACCAACCAAGTCCTTACAATGGAGTGCAAGAAGGGCTGATAATGAAGTTAATAAGCACCAGTATAGCAGAATAGCATATTTTCTGATTGAGTTGGCACTCTTGCCTGTAAAATGCAAAATTAATTGTTAAATACTTTAATTTCTTGCTTCTAAAGTCCTACATAAAATATCCTCTCACCCCTTGACCTTGACTCTTCTTGGATCATCTCTTAAGAACATTTTCTCTTTATTCTCTTGCCAAACTGTCATCCTTACTCTGCCCAGAACTTGCCAAGCATCCTTCCACATCAAAACTTTTGCTCTTTCTTCTGCCTCTTTCCCCCAGATATCCTCATGCATAATTTCTTCATCTCCTTCAGATATTTGCTCAAATGTCACCTTCTTAGAATTCTCTAGATTTCCTTATTTAAAATACATGGCCATATGGTTTTATATATATATTTATTTTCTCCATAGCTTTTATTACCTTATAATATACGACATAGTTTATTTTAAAATTTTTCATTAATAGAATGTGAACTCCACACAGGTTGTTTGTCTTGTTTACTGTAGCGTTTTCGGTTTATCTTTGCCTTGGATAATGCCTGAAATTTAGTAGCACATCCAAAAAGACTGCATGAAGATCTTAATTTATTTCAACAAGTTATATAGTAGCCACTAGGATGCATTTAATGAGAGAATTTTTTCTAAATGAGAAACATCTTTTGTTTATCTTCAAAGGGGGAATTTTTATCTCTCCTATAATGATGATGGGATCATGAACCAAGAATTGTATCCCCCCTCTTCCAAGTTCTGGTCTCTACCCCAAAACCTAAATTTTCCATCATTTGAGATTTATCTGTGGAAGCTACTCTAAGTATTAGGTCCTATATCATGGGCATGGCTTATACTTCTTCTTGGAGGGACTACAAGACACCTCAGATGAAAAGTTAGTTTGAGCTCAAAATCATGGCAAATTGTTTTTCATTGATTATCATAGTTAATTCTATGCTAGAAAATTGCAGGAAGTTAAAAGAATATTATTTTTTCAATATTGGAAGTCATATTAAGAGAAAATGCCTATGCACTTTTATGGAAAGGAAAAGGAAGAGGACAAGGAAGAATAAGAATAAATGTTTGAAAATGTTAGCAAAAGACAGCCAAGCTAGTTTTTTATTGGCTTTGAGATGGGTACTATGCAGCATATTGGTAATCAATAGAAATCATGTTTCATATTAATTACATTCATATATGGCAATCAGGGTTAATGAATAGTTTGGAAGACCTTCTGTTGAGAAGAGACTAAACCATTTTTGCTAGGGAGAAGGTAGAATTTTTTTGTTTCTTACTATGTGCGTCTTGACAGGCTGTGCGGCAGAAGCCATTTGTCCTTGCCATCTTCTTTTGCCAGTCATCAAGAATGTGTTTATCATCACTTCCAACATAAAAAATTAAGCTCAAACATACACAATACATCGAAGATATGGTAGTTCATGTTATCTTCTACTGAATTTTGTTTTTTTATGTTATTTTTGTTATTCAATTCTAGGAATATGTTCCTTGGTAAATTTGATCCATTCTCTCAACTTTTTAATGGATTTTGAAATTTTATAGGTCACTATTATATTCTTAAAACCATAGTATTAAATGTTTCATTTCATGTCTAGGTTATTATAGGTTATTAAAAAAATACCTTTTTTAATTTCTGAGGATGAACAGAGTTCCGTTAAATATGTCACTAAATGACATTTCAAATTCAATACTGTGAATGCACATATATGCCCTTTCAATTTTTTTTAATATAAAGAAAATTCCTGTAAGTTTAGAGAACATATCATATCAAATAGCTATGCATAAATTTGTCATTTAAATATGGAGACATACGAAATTGGTGTTAGTATTTGGACATATAAAGTGTTTTTAAATGGACTTTAAATGTGTGGCAATATTGCAATGTTATTTGGAAATTATTGTTGATTTAATCAAATATATTTGCTAAAATAGGTATGAGTTCAAATTACTAGAAAACCACTTTTTCTAGAATGATAGAATGGAGATGCAAGCCAGAATCAGTTATAAAGTTTTTCCCTTGAAACAGTGGAGTTTATTTGATGATGATTTCAGTTTATTTCATTTTTAACATTAACAAATATTTATTGAGCACTTACTCTGTCCCACGCACTGTTCTAGGTTTCAAGGATATGGAAGTAAACAAAACAAAGTCCCTGGCCTTCTGAAAATCACATTCTAGTGGAAAAGGCATACAAAAAAGCAGAAGAAGTTACACATTGTCATTGGCATTTTAAGTTTAATTTGTGTGGCCTCTGGCACTGTTTCTTCATCTGTGCAATGGGGCAATAATTGTATCAGCAGAATGAGCTAGACTTGATGATCTCGGGTTTTTTCTTTCCTTAGGAAAATGCAGTATAGTCTGCTCACATCAATACTGTTTTGGGGATGGCTATTAGGGTTCTTCAGTTCCTTTTTGCTCAGTGCAGGCAGTGGTTGCCAGGGTTGCAGGTGCTCAGGGGAAGTGAATCTCACAATATTTTGTCCCTTTTAAGGTAAATTCCATACTGCTTTAATTCATTATAACTGAAAAATAAACATTGATTTTTATCAGAAAAAAAAAGAATCAAAGATTAAACAAATTCTGATAGCACAGTTAAAGGGAGTTCCAACCATAATGATTCCAGAAGTGCTAAGTCAGGTAGTAATGAAAGGGTTACTTCTTGCTGGTATATGTAATTTAATGAAAAGATTTCATGGGCTATCATGGGAAAAATCTCAAAGTAATGGGCAGAGGACATCATAAATATTAATTATAATTCTTTTAGGAGAATCCATTAGTCAATAAATACCTTTTATAAAATAAAAAACAGCAAACAATTTCCATCTAAAAGACAAATGCAGTTTTCTTATTTCTATCCATATAGAAAATGACTAAGGGAAGTGTCTGTGTTAGGGCACACTGGTGCCCTATGCTAATTAATGAGCAGAAAAATAGAGTCTAAGTTCACATACTGACTTTCACAAAGGAGTATTTCAGACCACCAACAACTGATTCATTACAATTATGAAGAAAAAACAAATAATCTCTTGTTTCTCTATGTGTGTATAGACACCCTTCAGATTGCTTATTTTTTGTTATTTGTTTAAGAAGTCTTTATAACTTTATTTCCCTAATGATTATATAGTGAAGATTTTAGCTAGCCTCTAGAAGAAAATAGTGATTTTTACACAACTAAAGATATTTGAAAGCATTTCTGGAGCAAAGGATTTTAAGCTCTATTTTGCCACATTTCTCTTTGGTCATTTAATGGGCATTATAAAGATGTTTTAACAACATCTTCTCAGGAAGAGTAAAACAAATTATAGATATACATTTAAGACTTAAAAAAGCTAAATATGTAAGCATACATATTTCATTGGAATAGTTGTGAGGATATTTGGCAATTTAATATAACAG